ATCTCAGCTCACTGAAATGTCCACCTCCTGGGCTCAAGGGATTCTCCTGCCTCAGCCTCCCGAATAGCTGGGATTACAAGTGCCAGCCACCACGCTCGGCCAATTTTTGTATTTTTACAAGACAAAACCCTGTAGAGACAGGGTTTCACCACGCTGGCCAGGCTGGTCTCGAACTCCTGATTTCAAGTGATCCACCCGCCCCAAAGTGCTGGGATTACAGGCATGAGCCACCAAGCCCAGCCAAATTTAGAGTTTTACATGCAAGATGATTCAGTGGGACATTTTTTTTTTTGAGACGGAGTCTCACTGTTGCCCAGGCTGGAGTGAAGTGGTGCAATCTTGGCTCACTGTAAGCTTCACCTCCTAGGTTCACGCCATTCTCCCACCTCAGCCTCCCAAGTAGCTGGGATTACAGGCGCCCGTCACCACACCCGGCTGATTCTGTTTTTGTATTTTTAGTAGAGATGGGGTTTCACCATGTTAGCCAGGGTGGTCTCAATCTCCTGACCTCGTGATCCGCCTGCCTCAGCCTCCCAGAGGGCTGGGATTACAGGCATGCGCCACCGCACCTGGCCTCAATGGGACATTTAAGGATTTAAATATTTATTAGCATCAAGCTACCTCAAAAAATACAGCAAAAAACTACTGTAAACACCTCAAATTGAGTATTTGATTATACTGTGTGAAGGGAAAGGTAGTAATTTTTTTTTTTTTGAGATGGAGTCTCGCTCTGTTGCCCAGGCTGGAGTGCAGTGGCGCGATCTCGGCTTACTGCAACCTCTGCCTACCAGGTTCAAGCGAGGTTCAGGCTGAGGCTCCTGCCTCAGCCTCCCAAGTAGCTGGGACTACAGGCACATGCCACCACACCCGGCTAATTTTTCTGCATTTTATGTAGAGATGGAGTTTCACTGTGTTAGCCAGGATGGTCTCGATCTCCTGACCTCATGATCCACCCACCTCAGCCTCCCAAAGTGCTGGGAATACAGGAATGAGCCACTGTGCCCAGCCCGGGAAAGGTAGTAATTTTAAACACACCTCTACATGGTAAACTCCATGAGGAGAGAGGTGGCATCTTACATATTTTTATGTATGTATTTCATAACTGAAAACAATAAATATCAGATGAACGAAATGGTGGTTTGTCCCTCAATATCATCACTATAAAAGGTTCTATTGTAGAAAAATTCTAAGCTACACCAAACAGATTGACTTGACTTCACTTAATAATCCAGGGCCTCTTTAACTCTAGGAATGCCCACACCCACAGGCTCCAGTTCAAGGATGTGTCTCATGACACCTGAGTTTCAGGCAGCCTGTGGAGTTAGTCAAATGAGATTTTGAATTGCAGCACCACTAGTTTGTAGTCGTGTGTTTTAACATTACTAAACATTAATTTCCTCATCCTTAAACTGTGGATAACACCAACTTTGCAATGAAAAATAGAAACAGTGTATACAAGATGCCTGAATCTTCACAGGCTCACAACCAATGATGGCACTGCTTGTCAATACTATCCAACGTACCAGTTTTTGTATTCAAGGCCTTTCAGTGCCAGAAGAAACATTTGGGAATTAAGCTGTGTCAAGTTTTTAATTCATTCTTTGGCCTGGTCTGATGTGGCTTACAATGCAATGTCACTATCTAAAACACTTGCCAAACTGTGACAAATTCATTCACTCATCCAGCCATTCAACTAATATTTATTTACAGCCCAAAGTGCCAGACAAATGAGTCGAGAGGATGAGTCAGACATTTGAGTCAGTGGCTGAACTTTCTGTACAAACACAACTACCTACACATCAACCGATTTCTCCACATTTTTATCCCTTAGTATCTCTTGGTGGAACATGGTATCCTATTATCTCTCTGAATTCCCTTGTCTGCTACCGTTAGAGGTATATGGTAGTAGACTTTAGTGTCTGCCCACAAAAAAATATGACTTGCTTCTCTACCTGGCCACTTTAACAGATACAAGATTAATATGAACGAAAGAGCTCAATCTGAGAATTCAGAGATGACTTCATTCATCAACAACTACTGTCTCTCTTATTCTACAATTTTTTTTTTTTTTTTTTTTTTTTGACGGAGTCTTGCTCTGTTGCCCAGACCGGAGTGCAGTGGTGCGATCTCGGCTCACGGCAACCTCCACCTCCAGGGTTCTAGCGAGTCTCCAGGTTCAGCCTCCCCAGTAGCTGGGATTACAGAAGCCTGCCATCACATCCAGCTAAGTTTTATATTCTTTGTGGAGATGGGGTTTCACCTGAGGTGGGCAGATCACGAGGTCAGGAATTTGAGACCAGCCTGGCCAACATGGTGAAACCCTGTCTATACTAAAAATACAAAAAATTAGCCAGACATGGTGGCACATGCCTATAATCCCTTCTACTCAGGAGGCTGAGGCAGGAGAATCCTTGAACCAGGGAGGCGGAGGTTGCAGTGAGCAAAGACTGCACCACTGCACTCCAGCCTAGGCAACTGGGCAAGAATCTGTCTCAAAAACAAACAAAAAAATAACCCTTCCCATGGCACCCTGACTCAAATCCAGACACCTTGCGGTAGCGTGCCATGCCCAGCTGACCTGGCCTCTCTGGTGCCCTGGCTCTCTGGTCCCCTGGCTCTCTGGTCCCCTGGCTCTATGGTCCCCTGGCTGCGCGCATTTCCTCAGCATGGGCCTCAGGCCTTCGCAGATGTAGCACCTCTTTCTCCAGCATCCCCATCTTTCCAAAACAGGCTCTCCTCAGGTCTCCAGGAGAGGCCTTTCCTGCCACCCTGCCCCACGCAGCCGTGCCTCTGAACTCCCCTCTGGACACTGCCAGTTGCCTGCTGTGTTGTCTTTCTCCCTCATGACACAGTAGCTCGTCAGGACAGAGCCACGTCCTCACTGCACCCCACAGTAACCATGCAGTTCAGGGCCTCACACGCAGCAGCTGCCAGGTATGTGCTCACTAAATGAATACAAGAGCCCTTTTAAAAGCGATCTAATTTGTAAACTGAGGATAATATTGCTACAATTAGCCTTTTGGAGAGCTAGAAATTTAGTTAACAGCTAATTTTACATATATAACATGCACTGAAGTTATGGGAACAAGTGTGATTTCTATCTTGCTATTTTAGACAAATGAAGCTTCCAGGGAGCTCAGTGATGAGGTTCCTACGATTTTTTTCCCTTTTTTTTTTTTTTTTTTTTTTGAGACAGGGTCTGTTCTGCTTCCCAGGCTGGAGTGCAATGGTGCAACCTTGGCCCACTGCAACCTCCGCATCCCTGGTTCAAGCGACTCTCCTGCCTCAGCCTCCCAAGTAGCTGGGATTACAGGCGCACCACCAGCAAGCTTGGCTAATTTTTTTTTTTTTTAAAGTAGAGACAGGGTTTCACCATGTTAGCCAGGCTGGTCTCCAACTCCTCACCTCAGGTGATCCTCCCACCTCGGCCTCCCAAAGCACTGGGATGACCGGCATAAGCCACAGTACCCAGCAGACATCTGTACATTTTTTTTTTTCCGTCGCCTGGGCTGAAGTGCAATGGCGTGATCTTGGCTCACTGCAACCTCCGCCTCCTGGGTTCAAGCAATTCTCCTGTCTCAGCCTCCCAAGTAGCTAGGATTACAGGCACGCGCCACCACGCCCGGCTAATTTTTGTATTTTTTGTAGAGATGGGGTTTCACCATGTTGGCCAGGCTGGTCACGTTGGCCTCCCAGAGCTGAAGTAATCCCAAAGGATTACAGGGGTGAGCCACCGCGCCCGGTTTTGTGTGCGTGTGTGTGTGTCTGTGATGGAGTGTCACTGTCGCCTGGGCTGGAGTGCAGTGGTGCGATCTCGGCTCATCGCAACCTCCGCCTCCCGGGTTCCAGCGATTCTCCTGCCTCAGCCTCCCGAGTAGCTGGGACGACAGGCGCCCGCCACCACGCCCGACTAGTTTTGTATTTTTAGTAGAGACGGGGTTTCTCCATGTTGGTCAGGCTGGTCTCGAACCCCCGACCTCAGGTGATCCACCCGCCTCGGCCTCCCAAAGTGCTGGGATAACAGGCGTGAGCCACCGCTGCACTTTTTAACTGACAGGTCGCGGCTTGGAAAACTCAAAGTCGGACCCACAAGTCAGAGGCTCTCAGCTCCGGGAGGGGCTTTCCCGCGTGTCCTCCGGCACCGGCCTCCATAAGCCCCGGGAAAGGCAAAGCTGCGGAGGCCGCGGGAGGCGCCGGGAGGGCGGGCGGCGCCACAGGACAACCCGCCCCCGCCAACCCCGCGGTGAGCCGAGGATGCGGCGGGGACCGGACTCCGCGTGGGGCGCAGCCACGTACCCCCCACGCGGCGCGGCTCCGCCCGCCCCCTCCCCCCGCGCGCGCCCGCCGCTCCCTCGGGGCGTCCGCCAGCCCAAAGCCGGGCCGTGACCCGCGCGGGCTCCCTTCCTCCGACGCCGCCTCACAGCTGGAGGCCGGGCCGGCGTCGCCACCACGCGGTCCACGCCGTTGCTCACCCGACGCTCGCCCGGCCAGCTGCTCCCCAGGCCTGCACAGAGGCAGCCGCAGCTTCGCGGACCAGACCCGCACGACCCCCGGGTCGCCGGCGCTTCGCGGCTTCTCCACAGGATGCTCGGGCCACAGCCTCGCGCAGGTGCGACGGGCGCGCGACCGTTAGCACGAGGCCCCGCCCCGTCCTCAGCGACTCCGCCCGCGCCGCGCTCCGACTCCGCCCCCACCGCGCTCCGACTCCGCCCCCACCAAGCATCGACTCCGCCCCCGCCGCGCTCCGACTCCCCCCCCACCGCGCACCGACTCCGCCCCCGCCGCGCTCCGACTCCGCCCCCACCGCGCACTGACTCCGCCCCCGCTGCGCTCCGACTCCGCGGAGGGGAGGGGAGCCCGGTTGCCGTTTCTTCCAACGCGGGAGTCAAAGGGGCAGGACAGCAGCAGGTTCAGAGCCGCGTGTGGCTCTGTGGTCGCTCGATTCCAAAAGACGGTGCGCCGGAAAAAAATAGACTTATCTATCTATCTATAATATTATCAAGGGCGGGCGCGGTGGCTCACACCTGTAATGCCAGCGCTTGGGGAGGCCGAGGTGGGCGGATCACTTGAGCTCAGGAGTTCAAGACCAGCCTGGCCAACTTGGTGAAACCCCATCTTTACTAAAAATACAAAAGAAATTAGCCAGGCGTGGTGGTGAGTGCCTGGTTGTCCTGTGGCGCCGCCCGCCCACCCGAGTAGTCCCAGCTACTCAGGAGGCTGAGATGTGAAAATCGCTTGAACCCAGGAGAGGTCGCGTGAACCCACGAGAGGGAGGTTGCAGTGAGCTGAGATTGTACTACTGCACTCCAGCCTGGGCAACAGAGTGAGACTCTGTCTCAAAAAAAAAAAAAAAAATTAGCCAGGCATGATGGTGCATGCCTGTAGTCCCAGCTACTGGGGAAGCTGAGGGGGGAGAATCGCTTGAGCCCAGGAGCGAGGCTGCGGTGAGCTATGATGGTGCTGCTGCTGCACTCCAGCCTGGGCAAGAGTAAGAGTAAATAAATTAATAAGATATATCTACATCGAATGATAGATTTGGCATGTATTACATCAAGAAAATACCCATAGATGTGTATATCTATGTATGAAAAGTGTGTATATAATTAGATATGCTAAGGATTGGACTTAGGTGAATCTGACGAAAATTTTCTCAGCTCTTCATGTTTTTAATTCTATTTAGAAATCTAAATATGTGAAACTCTTTTTAGTCTGGATAAGCAGAGACTGACTAGAAAATAAAAGGAAAAAATATTTTTATTCTAATGACTTATACTAATTTTTAAGAGTACCAACCCAGGGCAAGTAAGATCCAAAAACTAAGTCTATTAAATTTGTCACCTACTACTGTCCACATGTAGCATTGTTTAAAAAGAGAAAAACAACTTTGGTACATATAACACAAACATAAAAGAAAAATGCAACTGCAGAACCAAGTTTTATGTTATTATTAAAATACAATTTTTCTTTTCCTCTTTTTTTTTAATTTCCTAAATAATACTGGGAAGCAAAATAAGGTACCTACTTTTCACCATTTCAAATATAATGGGAAGAGTTGGGTTTTTAAATCGTCCCTATTCCTTTCCAGTCTCTGCCTTTAAAAGAACATAGTTTTGGCGGGTCGCAGTGACTCGTGCCTGTAATCCCAGCACTTTGGGAGGCCGAGGAGGGCGGATTATCTGAGGTCAGGCATTCGAGACCAGACTGGCCCAATGTGGTGAAACCCCATCTCTACTAAAAATACAAAAATTAGCTGGGCGTGGTGGCAGGAGCCTGTAATCCCAGCTACTCGGGAGGCTGAGGCAGGAGAATGGCGTGAACCCGGGAGGCAGAGCTTGCAGTGAGCCAAGATCGCACCACTGCACTCCAGCCTGGGTGACAGAGCGAGACCCTGTCTCCAAAAAAAAAAAAAAAAAGGCCGGGCGCGGTGCCTCATGCCTGTAATCCCAGCACTTTGGGAGGCCGAGGTGGGCGGATCACGAGGTCAGGAGATGGAGACCATCCTGGCTAACACAATGAAACCCCGTCTCTACTGAAAATACGAAAACAAAAATTAGCCGGGCGAGGTGGCGGGCGCCTGTAGTCCCAGCTACTCAGGAGGCTGAGGCAGGAGAATGGCGTGAACCCAGGGGACGGAGGTTGCAGTGAGCCGAGATCGCGCCACTGCACTCCAGCCTGGGTGACAGAGTGAGACTCCATCTCAAAAAAAACAAGAAGAAGAAGATATCTTTATCTTTCCAAAAGAATAAACCAGTGGCCAGGGACAGTGGCTCATGCCTGTAATCCCAACACTTTGGGAGACCAAGGTGGGTGGATTGCCTGAGCTCAGGAGTCGGCAACCTGCCTGGGCAACACGGTGAAACCCCATCTCTACTAAAATACAAAAAAATTAGCCAGGCGTGGTGGCGGGCGCCTGTAGTCCCAACTACTCGGGAGGCTGAGGCAGGAGAATTGCTTGAATCCTGGAGGCAGAGGTTGCAGTGAGCGGAGATCGGGCCACTGCACTCCATCCTGGGAGACAGAGAGACACTCAAAAAACTAAAAATTAACAAAATAAAATAAACTAGCATTTTAAGTCCATCTTAAAGGAGAGGAAAAAAATATAAAAATTGTTTTCATGCATTTTTCATTTGAGCCTCAGTGAAGCAATAATATTTTAAATTTTTTAAAATTTTGTCACATTTTAGTAAATTAATTTTTACAGAAAGCTACATAAGGTTAAGCAAACAGTGTCAGCCTCGTCAGGACACAACAGGCTTCTCATAAGCCATGACGCTTCAAAACATAAGCCTAAAAGAATGGAATTGTTTCACATTCGTGAAATTAGGACTCCCTTGTTGCGCATTTTTTATAGCAGTTCTGTGAGATTAGTTTCCTCTTAACAATAGAATTGACTTGTCAGTATATTTTGGATGTACACGAACAGAAATAAGGACTAGAAATGCTAGCTTGCCCTTGCCGCTTGATGCGGAAGTCAAGGGTGAGTGAACAAGGGTCAGACTGAAAAAGCTCACATGTCTGGCTAAAGAAATGGTAGTTGGTTACATGGTCAGCTCCCCAGAGCAGGCCAGCTGTCAAAACATCTAGGAGCTGTCACAAAGGAGTGACAGGCAAAATATATAGTCACAAACTTTACACATTCTAATCAATAGGAAACAATTGACAGTTATTTTAGTGAATTACAAGATAAGCTTTTATTTATTTAACAAAACTATAACTTTTCCAACATTGATCCCATGACTACAATCTTCCTCCCAGGAGCTGAAATACTATTAGATCAATTACCAGCATAATTAGTCTCACCCCCACTCCTCCCTCCATCAAAGGACTAATCATTTTTGTGTTTTTTTCCCAAAACAGGGTCTCACTCTGTCATCCAGGCTGGAGTGCAGTGCCGCAATCACACCTCACTGCAGCCTCGACCTCCCTGGGCTCAGGTGATCCTCCCACCTCAGCCTCCTGTGGGACCATAGATGCACACCACCACGCCGGTTAAGTTTTGTATTTTTTGTAGACATGGGGTCTGGCTATATTGCCCAGGCTGGTCTTGAACTCCTGGACTCAAGCAATCTTCCTGCCTCAGCCTCCCAAAGCACTGGGATTATAGGCATGAGCCACTGTGCCTGGCCTAATCATCTTTTAAATAGATTGTAGGTGGGCATGGTGGCTCACCCCTATAATCCTAGCACTTTGGGAGGCCGAGGTGGGCGGATCACCTGAGGTCAGGAGTTTGACACCAACCTGGGCAACATGGCGAAACCCCGTCTCTACTGAAAACACAAAAATGAGCCCGGCATGGTGGCGGGCACCCGTAATCCCAGTTACTCGAGAGGCTGAAGCAAGAGAATTGCTTGAACCCGGGAGGTGGAGGTTGCAGTGAGCCGAGATCGCTGCCACTGCACTCCAGCCGTTTGCAGCATTGCCAAGTATATAAAAGCTCAGCTCCTAAGCCTCTTTAAGACTCCGTCCCAAAAAAAAAAAAAACAAGTTGAATGGTGAATGAAACTGGAACTGAAAGCCTCAGGACAAGGTGAGAGGTGCTGAGCTGAAGTGAGTAACGCCCGAGCTTGAAATAACTTAGTGTCCGTAGTCCGTGCCCAGGGACCAGGAGTGGTTCTCTGCGTGCTGCATGCCCTGTACTAGAGGAAGCAGAAGAGGGCATGAGCACACAAGACACCAGGCTTTGACCTTTTGGAAGCTTATCCCACGGGAAATGTACTGAGGTGACAACAGAAGGAAGTCCCATGTCTTGGGAGGGTGGTCATGCCATATTTCAACCACATTTATATTATATACAACACACACACACACACACACACACACACATCATATTATATATTTTGTTTTGTTTTTGTTTTTTGAGATAGAGTCTTGCTCTGTCACAAAAGGCTGGAGTGCAGTGGGCACAATCCCTGGCTCACTGCAAACCTCCCCTCCCAGATTCCAGCGATTTCTCCTGTCTTGACCTTGCAAGTAGCTGGGGGATAAGCGTGTGTGACCACAGGCCCAGCTAATTTTTATATTTTTAGCAGAGACAAGGTATCACCACGTTGGCCAGACTGCTCTCGAACTCCTGATCTCAGATGATCCGCCCGCCTCGACCTCCCAAAGTTCTGGGATTACAGGCGTGAGCCACTGCGTTCAGCCATAAACAAATATAAATTTTTAAATCATTGCAGCATCCCTTTACCACCTGCATGGCCATTAACAACATCTCTGACCGAGCTGTTCCCGTTCCACCTTGCCAGCCGTCTGCAGCATTGCCAAGTATCTAAAGTTCAGTTCCTAAGTTCATCCCAAGCCAGCTCAGCATCTTCTAGTTCTATGGTAAACACCTGGTAACTGAAGCTCAGAGCCTCAAAGGCAGCCTTGAATCCTCTCTTCGCCACTTTATCATCAGGCGCCAGGTTCTGTTTTTCTTTTTGGAGACGGAGTCTCGCTCTGTTGCCCAGGCTGGAGTGCAGTGGCAGGATCTCGGCTCACTGCAACCTCCGTCCCCCGGGTTCATGCCATTCTCCTGCCTCAGCCTCCCGAGTAGCTGGGACTACAGGCACCCGCCACCCCGCTCGGCTAATTTTTTGTATTTTTAGTAGAGACGGGGTTTCACCGTGTTAGCCAGGATGGTCTCCATCTCCTGACCTCGTGATCCGCCCGT